ATGTAAACACTCTTACTGCATGATTCTTACCTCACGAATAATTGTGCTTCCACGGACATGCAAAGAGTGTGCACTTAAGAGTCCAGCAGGGGTTCGAAATCGATGCACTCAAAATTGCCACCGTTCGCCGCTGCGTGAGAGGATCCCACCGAAGTCTGCAAGCAACGCGACATTTAGAAAAAGACACGGATTAGATGCGGCTTTGAGAGTGCGGTATACGATTAAGCGCATTGGCGCCGGGTTAACAGTAAGCGCACGCAACTATCGTACCTCGCATGAACTCGTAGCTCATGATTGATCATTGACGCCGCACTGCATTTACCGCATTTGAACAAAAACAATTAGTGATTAAACAAATACAATACGCGCTAATAAAACGAACGTCTCGAGTACGAGCAATACAACTGAAAAGGACCTGGAAAGAAACCGCGAATAACATGTGCGCTCGTAGGAAGCTTGTCGTTCAACGCAAAGCCTGACCACCGCTAATAACTCACCAGCGCTAATTGTGAGAAGCGACTTGTCATTCTAAGTACGCTGCAGGTGGGCCTCGTAATAGCTGCTCTAAGTGTGTATCATGATTGGAAAACGAAATCAGAAATGACAGATTGAGAAGTTCAAGGGTGGATTAGTATTCTGAAGGTGCAATGGAAAAGGAGAGGAGAGGCAATGGAAGCTGCTGTCGAGGAGCTCTGATTGGTCGGTGAACACTAATGTGCCACGTAACCCAACCCATCAACTGCATGCAATATATTGAGTGATGCGATCACATGACGGAATCACAAAAGAAATATAATATATTTCATTATAGCAGGTTGAAAGTCGAAGTGCACCTTCCCAAGTGGGATTTCCGAACGTGGCTGGTTCGGCAGCAAAAGTGAAGCGAGGCTATGATTGGTGCTGAACCGTCCTCAGAAACAGGTGGGTACCCTCGGGGTATCCCAACGAACTGATCTGCCTCCTGACTGGTCAGTTTTTTGGGTTGCGTAGCAACCCTATACATTTGGTAGCACTTTTCGGTCGACTCAAATGAACAGTGCAGTTTTTGTCATTTTCACAACGTTCCGAACCACTCGTTTGAACGTTTTGATAACGAGTGTTCCAAATGTGTGGAGATGACAGCACTGATACACATGAGTTTCCAAAAAAGTGTAACCAAATGTGACCTATCATTCCATAATCGTCGATAAATACGGCGAATGGAACAATTGGTCGTCGTCATCAAACACAATGGACGAGAAAAACACCCACTGGTCATGAATGCAAATCATGTGCATCCATTCAACACGAGCAAAAGCTGCACATAACAACTGCGAGTGAATGCTAAAATGCATCGGTGCTACAACAGAGATGGTTCCGGTATGCTAAGGCAAACAACGCTGCCCCAACAACGATCCCCACCTCAAATGCAGAACCGACACACTTAAACATCACACCTCAGTTGCATAACACGTGCAAAAACAGCACATAACAATAGCGAGTGAATGCTAAGATGCATCGGTGCTACAACAGAGATGGTTCCGGTACCGTCATCACCCGGATATAAGACAGTGTTGAATAGTAGACAGGAGTTGTCTATTATACGGGTGTCTCTTATAAACAGGCTAGCCTCATTATAAGACACCTATTTGTGTGTACGAGATAAGACATATGTGTCTTATAATCGAAACTGCAATATATTATAGTGAAAATTGAAGTACCGCGTACATTTTTACCCTTGCGACACGCGAATTCTGCCACGTGCTGACTCACGTACTACCAAATTTGCCTTTGCAAGTATTCTCCATGACGTGGCACCCCGAACAATGGTTGCCGAAGTGGCACCTTCGCAACATCCACACTCATAATGAGAAACTCTTTTCAAGATGTGTGAAAATATTTCTGAGTAGTTAAAAAAAGTTTCCATTTATAAGACTTATAAGACACCCAAAACCTCCCCAAATACAAGATGACCCAAGCATTTTTTTTAGTGTATGAGATAAGACATATATGTCTTATATCCGGGCGATGACGGTATGCTAAGGCGAGCAACGCTGCCCCAACAACGATCCCCACCTCAAATGTAGACCCGACACACTTTAGCATCACACGTCAGTTGCACACACGAGACAGACAGGTGCAAACAGACAAACGCACACATCGCACACACAAGCTCCAGGGCTCTCGTTATCAGACTAATTTGGTCTGATGGTCTGATTTTCAGACTCACTTTTTTGGATTCATCTGATTTGGCAAACAGGATCAGACAAAACCATGTCTAATGCCCGGGGGATCCGTCTGATGAATCAGACGTCCTCAGATCCTAGCAAGAGCCCTGACAAGCTCACACGCGCACGTACACACACGCATAAGCACACGCACACACTGACACCAGGCCCTCAGATTGGTTTGAGGGTATGCTGATGGATCAGCGTGCCCCGGCCAACGAGGTGTCCAAATCAGCGTTCACGGTTTTTTTTATACTGATTTTGCCAGTGTAAAAATCATAAGTAAACTGAACCAACAGTGTAATAACAAAAAACTATAGCTGAAACCCCAGTACAAGGTGTGTGGTGTTGTTGCTGTGATAGGTTCCAGCGAGGCTAAACACTTCGGCGCGCACCTGATATCTGTGCAGTGCATGCGAAAAAATGCCGTGTGTGTGGGTGGGGTCTCAGGAATCACGGGAAGGTACAGATTGTACACGCATACCCTATCCCCCCCCCCCCCCCCCCCCCCCCACACGCGGTCAACTCCGTTTCAGTGTGACTCACGTCACTATACTGATTCGTCAGTGTTACTTGTAAAGAAACACGCAAAATGGTCAGTGTGACAAGGTAGGATATACTGAAATTTCAGTGCAAAATTGAAGCATATGCTGAATTTTCAGGGAAAACGAAAATCACAGCTACAAAATCAGCGTAATCAGCGTGTTTTACGCTGATATCTGAGGGCCTGACTGACACGCATGCAAACAACCACAGATAGATACAGAGACCGCAATAAACACGCAACCGTCATGAATAAAATTCAGAAATGCATAAATAACTGCTAGCCTATCCCACCTTACCCTCCTTACAACCCTCCCTCCCTCCTTCCCTCATCTCCATCCCACTCCCTCCCTCATCTCCCTTCTCAGCTCATGTGCCCTGCACAAAGCAAAAACAGAGAAGTCAACACACACACGCCCTGCACAAAGCAAAAACAGAGAAGTCAACACAAACACGCCCTGCACAAAGCAAAAACAGAGAAGTAAACATCTACACGGCCTGCACAAGAAAGCCAAAACAAAGAAAGCAATAGCACACCTTGCCCAAAAAAACAGTTTGTGATCACACACTGTACAAGAAAGCCAAAGGCCAAAGGCCATAACGCTAGCGCTTCAAGCGCGGCACGTTAGGTGCCATGCCAGCGCCCAAGCGTTAGAGCGTGCTGAGCAAGCGTGCTTGGCAATAGCTCGCTAGTTGCCAGCGGCCTAGAGGAGCGTCTGAGGCGTCGACACCTTAGCCGGCACTCTAAGCGCAAGTGCAATAATCGACACTCATTTGTATAAGTAGCCCCAGTTGCCCAAGCACCAGCAGAATAGATGCTAGTGCCTATGCCCCAGCATGCTCATTCGCTCTTTCACGAGCTCTCTCACGTGCTCTTTCACGCGCTCTCTCACGCACTCTCTCACGCGCTCTCTTACGCGCTCTTTCACGCGCTCTCTCACGCACTCTCTCACGCGCTCTCTCACGCGCTCTCTCATGCGCTCTCTCACGCGCTCTCTCACATGCACTCTCAGGCACACTCTCACGCGCTCTCTCTCGCGCACTCTCACGCGCATTCTCTCTCTCACGTGCTTTTCCACTCGCTCACTCACGCGCTCTCGCACGCGCTCTCTCATACACACTCTCACGCGCACTCGCACGCTCTCACACGCGCTCCCTCACGCGCTCTCTCATGCGCTCTCTCACGCGCACCCTCACGCGCACCCTTATGCGCTCTCTCACGCGCTCTCTCACGCGCTCTCTCACGCGCTCTCTCACGCGCTCTCTCACACGCGCTCTCAGGCACACCCTCACGCGCATTCTGTCTCGCGCACTCACGCGCATTCTCTCTCTCTCACGCGCTCACTCACGCGCTCTCTCACGCGCTCTCTCACGCACACTCTCACGCGCACTCTCACGCTCTAACACGCGCTCTCTCATGCGCTCTCTCACGCGCTTCTCTCACACACTCACTCACGCGCACCTCACGCACACCCTCACGCGCTCTCTCACGAGCTCTCTCACGCTCTAACACGCGCTCTCTCACATGCTCTCTCATACGCAACCTCACGCGCTTTCTCACGCGCTCTCTCATGCGCTCTCTCACGCGCTCTCTCACGGGCACCCTCACGCGCACCCTCACGCACTCTCTCACGCGCTCTTTCACGCTCTCACACGCGCTCTCTCACATGCTCTCTCATACGCAACCTCACGCCTCTCTCACGCTCTCTCTCACACGCTCTCTCACACGCTCTCTCACACACTCTCTAATGCGCACCCTCACGCACTCTCATGCGCTCTCTCATGCACACCCTAACGCGCTCTCTCATGCGCTCTCTCACGCGCTCTCTCACGCCCTCTCTCACGCGTTCTCTCGCGCGCTCCCTCGCACCCTCTCCCGCACTCTCTCACACGCTCTCTAATGCGCACCCTCACGCGCTCTCATGCGCTCTCTCATGCGCACCCTCACGCGCACCCTCACGCGCTCTCTCACTCGCACACTCACGCGCTCTCTCACGCGTTCGCTCGCACGCTCTCTCGCGCGCTCTCTCCTGCGCTCTCTCCTTCGCTCTCTCCTGCGCGTTCGCTCCCGTGCACACGCTCTCCCTCGCGCTTGGTCTCTCCCCTTCGTCAGATGAAAGTGCAATGCAAGAGGAGACCAATTGACACAGGGCAAAAAACAAGGGAAATTCAGAGGGGGAAGGAGGATGAAAGGACCGGGAACGCACCTGATAACCACGGTGCCTCAGAAAACAACCCGCGCTGGCGCACCTACCCGCGCTCCGCGCACCAACCCGCGCTTGCGCTCGTGCACCCGTCGCCGGAGGCGATGGCGGGGAGGGAAGGAGAGGCGACGGCGGGGAGGGAAGGAGAGGCGACGGCGGGGAGGGAAGGAGAGGCGACGGCGGGGAGGGAAGGAGAGGCGACGGTGGGGAGGGAAGGAGAGGCGACGGCAGGGAGGGAAGGAGAGGCGACGGCGGGGAGGGAAGGAGGGGCGACGGCGGGAAGGGAAGGAGAGGCGACGGCGGGGAGGGAAGGAGAGGCGACGGCGGGGAGGAAGGAGAGGCGACGGCAGGGAGGGAAGGAGAGGCGACGGGAAGGAGAGGCGACGGCAGGGAGAGAAGGAGAGGCGACGGCGGGGAGGAGGGAGAGGCGACGGCGGAGAGGAGGGAGAGGGGACGGCGGAGAGGAGGGAGAGGCGACGGCGGAGAGGAGGGAGAGGCGATGGCGGGGAGGAGGGAGAGGCGACGGCGGGGAGGAGGGAGGGGCGACGGCGGGAGGAGGGAGAGGCGGTGGCGGGAGGAGGGAGAGGCGGCGGCGGGAGGAGGGAGAGGCGGCGGCGGGATGGGAGGGAGCAGCGACGGCGGCTGGAAAGGATGGAGGGGCGATGGTGGGATGGGAGGGAGCGGAGACGGCGGCTAGGAGGGAGAGAGACGCGATGGCGGGGTGGGAGAGAGCGCGACGGCGGGGTGAGAGGGAGAGGGACGGAAAGGAGTAAGGGACAGCTAGACGGTAGGTAAGGCGCGACTGCAGGATTGGGCGGGAATGGGCGGATTTGGAGGGAGAACCAAGCAAGAACCAAGAAGCAAGCAAGAACCAAGAACCAAGCAAGAACCAAGAAGCAAGCAAGAACCAAGAAGCAAGCAAGAACCAAGAACCAAGCAAGAACCAAGAAGCAAGCAAGAACCAAGAACCAAGCAAGAACCAAGAACCAAGCAAGAACCAAGAAGCAAGCAAGAACCAAGAAGCAAGCAAGAACCAAGAAGCAAGCAAGAACCAAGAAGCAAGCAAGAACCAAGAAGCAAGCAAGAACCAAGAAGCAAGAACCAAGGAGACGAAAGTCGAATTCGAGCAGACAGGTGTGAAAGGAAAAAAATACACTGCTTCCCACTATAGTAATTTGTATGCGCAATACAGTAAGATGGATGTAAAAAAAATGTCTATTATAAACATAAAAAACATTTCACATCCAAATAGTTCTCTGTTAATACACAGAAGAATCACTGAGTAAAAATAAACAGCATATCTGCTGAAAGCAGCAAAAGAGGAATTTTGAAGCTTATTCCATTTTAACCAAATATAATAAACATTCTAATTTGCTTTACATCAGTAAATTTTTATATTCACCATCATAATGTTTCTTGTACGAGGATACAACTCTACGCAACCCATTCGACGTAAACGTCGAATCTTGTTTCTTACGAATGTGCGCGACGGATTCTGCGAGAGTTGCTGACGTTGCAATTGCTCGAGGTATCCTCGGGGCCACTTGCAGGGAACTTGTGGGTAACCCCGCGAGGGTGACCTCGGGGTACCCCTCGATTTCGGAGTGAATTTTGCGCTCTGAATTTTGGGTGGCAGGAATGACTAGCGAAACTTGAAGCATTGTTCTTGGTGAACGTCAATGCTGAATCAATGTGCGGAGGTTGGAGGAATGTCTTCCGTCAGGTTTGAGAAATGAATCCCTAGCCAATATGCGCATGTGAAGAATTCTAGATATGATCATAGTGTGCCGTGTTAATGTAGTGGTAAATGTGCCCCTATAGTCCAGAGGTTAGGGGATCAATTCCCACTAGAGCCTTTGTTACTTCAAACAGGTGTTTTATCCTGAACTTTCTGTTCTCCTTTTTTCTTGTGCTCGCTATAATGCACCCAGCGAGCATCAATCCGCTGACCTTCCGCGCAAGTCAGATTCAGAAGTCTAAAGAATATTCAAATACGAGAACTGCCAGCAACAAGTATTGAATCCCTTAATCCACAAGGAGCTGGGCAAATTCGGGTGAATATTGAGTCAGGTGCGGGTCATGTTACTTTGGGGTCAAAATACTCACTGACCTCAAACTGACCCATAACTAACTTTTGACCTGAAACCTTTTCGGATGACTTTTAGGTTAGCTTAGGGCCAGACAAGGGTCAAGGTCGATTTTGGGCCAGGTTTGGGTCAGCCACATTTTGGTGATGCTTAACACCACCCAGCAGGCGTTACACATCCCAACATGTGTGAGGTCAGGGTGGGATGTTTTTTAGGGCTTGCGAGAGTTACCTGAATCCTGAACTGTCCTTCCCTGCAACGTCATACCGCGCCAGGCGCATGTGCTGGCAGTAATTTGCCTCTGTTTCTCGTACCCACTTCCCTGTTGCCGGCAGTGAGGGCGTTGCTGCAGCTGCCGGCGGCGTGGGGCATATGGGTGGGCAACAGCAACGCCACCACGGCGTGCTCTGCATGGACTGGCGTCACCTGCAGCCCCAAAGGGCTCGTCGTTTCCCTGTGAGTCTCATGCCGCCCCTCACTGCCCTCGCTGTCCGTTGCCCTAATTGTCCCCTCTTTGCTCTGATTCCCTGTCCCACCACCTTCGAAGAACCCCTCGTTACCCCGCATTGGTCTTGTTCCCTGTGTTTTAGTGTTCCACCCTTCCATTTGCTGCTCCGCTTGCAACAATCGTATCTCTTGAGTGGAATGGACTTTACTATGTGCGGGAGCACGGAGGGAGTCGCAACTGAACGGGGAGGGGGGTGGGTTGAAAGTGGAGGATGTAGGGTGGCGGGATGGGGGACTGGACTGGATGGATGCTAGGGAAGTCAACTGGGGTGGGAGGAATGGGAGCTGGTATTGCGTGCATGCATGCATGCATGCGTGTGTTGGCAGGGATGCAAGGAATTTCCCTGAAGTGGATCCGCCGGCCACTGGCTCCATACCTGCTTCCATCACTGCTCTCGCCTCCCTGCAATACCTGTCCGTCACCACCACCCACCCACCCACCCACCCACCCATCCCTTCATCCACCATGCCCTTCGTTACCCATGCACCAGTCTCGTTATGCTCTGTCCTTCCATCTCGTGCACCACGACTTTGCATGCGTCCCTTGTGCACTAGCCGGACTACAAGCTGTGACCATTCTACTGCAATATATCTCAATACTCCATCCTATCTTTCTGTTGCCTTCTCCACTGTTGTTCCCGCACTCCCACCCCACAGTGATCTGACCTACAACATAGATCTGGAGGGGCACATTCCATCGCTTGCCACGCTCACCGCCCTCACCCACCTGTTCGTGCTGCTCTTCCATGGATCCAAACCAGGCCGGCTTATTGTTGGACTAGGCTTATATGCCCATTTCAACATTTCACTCCTCTCCACGCCCTGATCCTGGTCTCGCTAGCTCAATCCCCGTTCCCAACATAATCTCAAGATGGGAGTCATTTGGTTGTCACCTTTTTTTGGCATCGCCCCTACAAGTACTCCTGCTCTTGTCGCTCCTAAAAGAATCAAATTTTGTTTTTTTCCTCCTAAACCCTGGTGGCATGTGTTCCAACCCTGCATGCGCACATTGCTGCATGCATGCGACGTGTGTATGTGCACTCAGTGCTTTTGGAATGGTTGGCAGCAGGCTGACGGGCACTCTGGAAGGACTGGCTTGGCTCTCCTCCCTCACCAACCTGCACACACTGTACGCCCTGCACACACTGTACGCCCTGCACACACTCTACGCCCTGCACACACTGTACGCTCTGCACACAGTGTACGCCCTGCACACACTGTACGCCCTGCCCACACTGTACGCCTTGCACACACTGTACGCCCTGCACACACTGTACGCCCTACACACACTGTACGCCCTGCACACACTGTACGCCCTGCACACACTGTACGCCCTGCACACACTGTACGCCCTGCACACACTGTACGCCCTGCACACACTGTACGCCCTGCACACACTGTACGCCTTGCACACACTGTACGCCCTGCACACACTGTACGCCCTGCACACACTGTACGCCCTGCACACACTGTACGCCCTGCACACAATGTACGCCCTGCACACACTGTACGCCCTGCACACACTGTACGCCCTGCACACACTGTACGCCCTGCACACACTGTACGCCCTGCACACACTATACGCCCTGCACACACTGTACGCTTTTCAAACACTGTACGCCCTGCACACACTACACGCTCTTCAAAGACTTTACGGAAGACTGTACGCCATGCAAACACCATTCTCCCTACAATTTTCAAGCACGCTAGGCTTGCAAGCAATCAATGACTCCGTTTGATAACATTGAAGTTTAGGTTTAACCACAGCCGCAACAAAGTTTTGCTTGGCTTGGAAAAAGGCTCGGCAGCGGAAAAGTGGGCTATAAACCCCAAGGGACAGTAAGACACTCCAAGCCAAAACCCCAAGTAGGAGTGGGACTTCACAACCAGTGAGCAACCTTTCACTCAGCCACGCTGGATGCCACATCGCTTCAGCATGTCATGCAGAAATCCCCATGCAACTATCCTACATCCCCCACGGCTTCTCCTATACCTCGCTTCCCTCTCGTCATCCAGGAGTCTAGCGAATTTGCCGTCATTCACCGGGGACCTTTCCTCGCTGCAAGTTCTTTCTCACCTGAGTAACCTTCAGCAGCTGTACGCATCACTGCAGTGCAAGAACGTACTGTGGTGTCGTGGCATCCTGTTCCTACTCTTAATCTGCATGTCACCGTGTGAGGTGCTCCATACCAGCTCGCAATTAGCGATGGTTGTTCGCTCATTTCTGCTGATTACGTGTGCATGAGTGCAGGATACTCAAATCGCTCATAAATGCCAGAGGGGAGATACCCAGTACATGACTGCCCTCACTGCACTGTAAGCTCCACTCAAGTTTAGTGGGGCAGGCAGGTAAAGCAAGTTTATTGATGTGCACTATTTATGCCACCCAGCATGTCTGCAGCTCTATCGGCTGGTATATGTGACAAAGCTCTTGCTTTCCTCCCTGCAGGAACCTATTTTAGACAGGACATGCCGTTGCCTTCATCCCTGCTGCACTGCTGCAGGGATCTGTCGGACCTTCGTGCTGTGGAGTTTCCCGGTTGGGTCACTCAACTCTCCAACCTTCAGTATCTGTGAGCTCCTCCTGGTTTAATCTCCTCTTCCTCTGATCTTGTTGTCCACCATTGCCACATTCCACATTCCCCACGAGGCTAAGGAGAACCAGATATGCAATGGTTGGTTGTGATTGGGCTTGTTTCAGTGCGCCGACTGTTGCCAGCATTTCTTGTGCGCAGGAACCTGAATGTGGACAGTTCACACCGGCAGGGACGGTTGCTCAATGATGACATCTCTCACCTCACAGCACTCAGAAGCTTCTGAGTTTAGTGTTTTTGGGAGTGCAGCGAGCATGCTTGTTGGGATGTGGCTCATCGGCTCTTAATATACACATATAAATCATTAAAGGCTTAGGTTTTCATCTTACTTGCGAAGTAGTACTGGTGGGTGGGGTGTTGAAGATGCAGATGACATATTCAAATGCATCTCGTAGAAGTGACATGGACAAAAGTACCGTGGCCCGCTCACACAGTCTCTATTGCTGCATCGCTGTCTCTGGCAGGGCAACAAGAGCACTTGTAATTCCTGCCCTTGTTTCTCAGGACCCCCACCAGTTAATACTCAAGCGTCCATCTGCTGCCTGCTACCACACTCTGCAGGTCCCTTTACGGAAACAACCTGGAAGGCTATCTGACCAATAGCTGGACGAGTCTGGTCCATCTGCAGGAGCTGTGAGTTGCTGTTTTGCCATACCATTCTGCCATCCTGCCATGCTGCCATACATGTTCTTTCTACCATAGCTTCACGCTGGCCGACTGCTGTGCTGTTGGCAGCAGCATGAACCTCATTGCTGTTGCGATATGCCCATGCCTATCAAGTCAATACCATCAACACATTGTTGTATATACTAACTGTGAGTTCAAAGTGAAGTGAGTGCCTAGCCGCGTTGAACACAAACAATTTCATGTTCAAGTTTAGCGACACCATCTCTTTTTCTTATTCTAACAAGCGTCGCAACACTTTTTTCTTATTTGCACATCCCCCTAGCCATTCACAGTGTAACGGACTCAAATACATTGCAATTACAAAATACACCCACTAGGCGAACACAATCATGTCGCCCAACTTGTTTGTGTTCGAGGCAAAGACATAAGTGGTTGCCTACAGGTGTGAATTGTCAAACATTCGTTTCAGGTAAAGTGTTCGGGTCAATTCGAACATGTTCAGTTCGCCCACTGAACATGTTCATTACACGTTCCGCCCAAATACTTCCGTGCTCGGGTTTTGCTCAATCCCACATCCAGTCCAGTACATTATGTGTAGTAGGCATGAGTTGGGTCCGAGCTGCACTGGCTCGGACCGAGCCATGAAGAGCGGCTCGACTCAATTAGCCGAGCCAGCAGTTTAGCCGGTTTGTGGTTCGTTACATTGAGGCGAGCCCGGCGTGCAGGTGATAAGCTGGCCGGTGCTCGTCAGTTTGACGGCTTAGGCCAGAGGAGTGCATATGGGCGGGATGATTGAAACTCATCTTGTTCGGGGAAGAAACTCGGTCAGGTTTTTGCCAAGAGCCGAGCATAACTCGGCTGAGTTTTTTTGGGCCGGGGTCGGACTCGTCACTTATCCGAATGAACGAGTTTTTCAGAAACTCGTCATGTGTTTGCGAACACTTGGACAAGTGCGAGTTTAACTCGTCCGGGGGGGTTGGGGGAGGGGAGATGTAACATACTATTTTGGGGGGTGAACACCCCTGTACCATGTGGATTTGATTACACTTGTAGTCTATACTTTCACCCACAACACGGTTATATCTTCTCTAACTCGTCTCGACTTGAGCGCTCGTTGCTCGCCCGCAGGAGCTCAGGGACGAGCTGACATAAAAAACTCGCCCAGATGCACATGCATGGCGAGGGTGAAGTGCTAACTCGCAACCTGAGGATGGCTGGCAGAAAAATGAAAAAAAAAAAAAATGAAAAAAAAAAAAAAAAAAAAAACAACAACAACAACAACAACAAAAAAGAAAGTACCGAGTCGAACTGAAGTCGGAGTCAAACTGTCAAAGGATCCAAGTTTCTTCAACAGTACGTCTAACTACAACAGGCATGGGCAAATGTGTAGTCTAGCTTTACTCGACTCGCCTTTGAGAGTTTTTTTTTTGCGAGCGAGTCGAGTCGATCAAAACTGGTGGATTTTTCCCTTCTTACAAGATATTTGTAGCCCAACCATTTTGACAAGTTTTCCAAAACTCGTCCAAATTCAAATAAAACTCGACTGAGTCGAGTAAAACCCCACTTGAGTCTTGGGCTGCTAACCACCGTTTTTCCCCCTTCCCCCCTCCTCTCCCCCTTCCCCCCTCCCCTTCCCCCCTCCTCGCCTCACCACACTTCTCAAATGCCATATGCATCCAAAGGGGTACAACCAGTGTACAAGTCCTCATCCACTACAACCCCAAGGTTCATATCCACCCAGGTTACATTCGCATGCCTACAAAGGGCGCACTCAATTCTTATTTTTTTGAATCAGAATTCTGGGAGCCAACAAATTTGAAGGTTCCATTCCAGCAACAT